AAGTTTCGATGGCTGACAACTTCCTCCAATTTAATGAACGAAAGAATGAAGTCCTTGTATGTGCCCCTGTTAAACACATACCTAAGATAATGAATTCTCTTGGTCCCCTTGCCACATTTGTGAAATCGTCTATCAGGAACTTAGGGATAATTTTTGACCCGGTCCTGTTTTTATCACTTAAGAAACATTTCTAAACTAAGCCCTATTGTATCTCGTAAAAATTGGAAATTGTCATTCATGCTTTCATTTCATCAACATTTTATTGGAGTTACAGGAAATGTTTTACCATGGCTGAGATCTTACGTGTCTGGGAGATCTCAGACTGTTCGTTTTAAAAATGATCTCTCTGTGACCTGTGCAGTGGGGCATGGGGTGCCTCAGGGCTCTGTACTTGGCCCATTGCTGTTCTCTCTGTGTTCTTTTACGCTCTTTTAATGTAACTTTTCATTGTTGCACTGACGACCTGCAGCTTTTTGTTCCTTTAACCATTGGAAATTGTGCTGAAGTGTCGAAATTGGAATCATGTCTACTTGGTTAACGGATAATTTCCTGCTTGTTAATACTGATAAGACTGAGTTAATGGTCACTTAACCACAAATATTTCAATACTTGTCCCAAAATTTCACCTTGAAAATTCATGACAATGTCATAAATTGCAGGGACAAGGTTAAAATCTTGGGTGTGTGGTTCGACTTGGTGCTTTCTTTCGAGTCTCATGTAAAAGAGATAACAAAGACCAATTTTTATCATTTAAGGAACATAGCTAAAATCAGATAAGTTTTATTAAGCGACACTGCAGAGGTTCTTCTCCACACATTTGTGTCTTCACGTATCTATTATTGTAACGCTCTTCTTTCTGGGATACCAAAGAAAAGTTTCAAATGTCTACAGATGGTGCAAAATGCAGCTGCTCGTATTTTAAATAAAACTGGAAAATTTGAGCACATTACCCCTGTATTGAAATCCCTTCATTGGATACCTTGTCAGGTTCGAGCAGATTTTAAGGTCCTGCTGCTCACCTAACAAGGCTTTAAATGGTTTGGCCCCCCTTATACCTCTCTGATCTTTTGCACCCTCATGTTCCATCCCGTCCTCTCTGATCCCAGGATTCTGGCCTTTTAAAAGTTCCTAGGGCCAGAAAATAAAAACTATTGGGGAACATGCTTTTTCTTTTCGTGCCCCATTTTTGTGGAACAACCTCCCTCAAGATATTAGGCAGACATGGCCTTTGGAGGTTTTTAAAGCTAAGTTGAAGACCCACTTGTTCAGCCTATCCTACATGTCTTAATTCTATGCCATTTAGTTTTTTACATTTTTATAATTTGTAACTTTTATTATGTTTTTAACTTGTTATTGTCTTTTTAACTTGTATTGCTATGCATAACTTTTATTTATCTCTTTATTTTCAAATAGCCGTACAGCACTTTGTCTGAAAGCATTTTATAAATAAAGTCAATATTATTATTATTATTATTATTATTATTATTATTATTATTATTATTGTTATTATTTTCAAGACTGGACTACTGTAATTCACTGTTTACATGTTTAAACAAAAACTCCTTGGAACGTCTGCAGATTGTTCAAAAGGCTGCAGCTGGACTTCTGACCAAAACATTTAAGTACTCTCATGTAACACCAATGCTAATACAGCTGCACTGGCTCCCCAATAAATCCAGAGTCCATTTCAAGATTCTGATACTGACTTATAGGGCTCTCCATGGACAAGCACCTGCCTATATCATTGAACTTCTGCAGCCTTATATCTCTGGCAGGTCTCTTAGGTAATGTAATCAGGGTCTACTTGTCATTCGTCATGCAAGACTGATCACTGAGGGAGACAGAGCTTTTGCCTCTGTAGCTCCCAGACTGTGGAACTCGCTCCAATTGAGCTTAAGATCTCTGGACTCAGTAGCTACTTTCAAAAAACAACTAAAAACACATCTTTCTAGAATTGCATTTTTTAAAATGTTGTCTGTTTTGTTTTATACTTTGCTGTCCTTGTATGAAACTCTTTGTGATATTTTTTATCTAGAAAGGTGCTATATAAATAACGTTTTACTTACTTACTTACAAAACTCCATTACTACCAAGACTGTGTCAATGTGTTACGGCGTCCCTGGGAGCGGGGGCCGTTGCAATACAAGGGGAACCCAGTGGCTATCTTCCCTGATTACACCGAGAGCGTTGCCAAAGTTCGCTTCGCTTTTAACAACGTGAGGAACCTGCTTTGAGGGCGTCAAGATGTCCGGTATGATGTTTCCAGATAGACAGGGGCGAGAGTAAGAAGTTTCTGGATTCAGAGAAGGCAATGCTATACGTAAAAAACATTGTCTCACCAAGTGAAGCTGTCGGGTGAAGTGCTCCTCCTGATTGACTTTTGTCTCTAGCCAGTCCTTGGTGATGAGGCTTTGCAAGATGCAAAGTTTGGTGGACAGTGTAATTACTTGATTAATCCCACATCTTGTTTAGGCTGGATAAATGACATTTGCACTACTTAAGGTCTTTATTAAGGTGCTATGTTATTCCATTCTGAGCTATAGCCAGGCGGCTGCCAGTTTTGTTTTTTGTTTTCTCTTGGTCCTAGTGTTTCCCAATGCCAGCATTTCTATGTGTGGTCTTGTTCAGATGGGGTTTCAGGGTCACCGGGTTTTACATGGTGACTTGGCTTGGGATACTGCCAGAATTTATTTACTTTTTTCTTTTTCTCTCCTTCTTGGAGTCTGGGTGTGCAAATACATTCATAATGTTGGTTGTTGATTAGATAACTCTATGGCTGCTGTCGAAGCTATACAAAGGTGAGTCTCCTGCA